TTCATTCCAAATCTCTGTTTAAAACTTCTCTTCAATTTTGTGCCAGTGTCTCCCTTTGTCACTATTTAACTCTCAGAAGTGCTTATGGATGTAGTTTTTATTTAAAAATACCACACTATAATATATGGCTATATGCTGTATAATACATGTCTTTAGTCAAGGCACACAGTATTGTGCAGAGTGGTTTTTTTTCACCTACCAATAAGTCCTGCAAATGCTTTAAATAGTTTAATGTCTAATTTGTGCTGTCCCCAGTGCTTTTTTCTAATATTGCCACTCCTTGCATGACTTCCAAGTCAGGGTAAGATCCATTAGCAGAAGTTACACAAAAAACAAGGCTGGATATCAGTGAAGATTTGTGGAAATGGGACTGAAATTGCTTTAGGCAAAAGTCCTTTTGCCCCCTGGCCCTCTTACTGTTCAAAGCACCCTTATTGACCTATCTGGTAGTATTCTTCATGTTCGTATTCCAGCAAACAGTTAATTCCTAAATGTAGCCTATTTACTAAGGGCCAAGATGGCTTTAGTTAATTGGTCATATTGCAGCCCAAATTATTTAAGAGAAGTATGGTCCTACCATGAGTACAGGAAGTGAGAGCAGCAAGTAATGAAAGAGGCAGAGAGCTTACAGCCACTCAGTCAGTGTTTCCAAATGTGTTTGTTTCTCCGCAGGTGGTTAAAAAGAAAGAGGAAGGAAAAGCGTGCAGAGGAACTGGCTGCCAAGGAACGATCAAGACAGCTTAGGTTAGAAGCCAGAAGAGCAAAACAAATCCAGAATATCATGTGTACCATTTCTGAACCTAAATCCTTCCGTTTCACTGACCATTATAGCTGAACGTTTGATGTGTCCATGGATAATTGTTGGTGTTGGCTCTTACCCTTTCAGGGCTTGAGTGATTCTTTGCTGTTGCTGTCTCTCTCTGGCATTTTAAAGCTCTTTAAATAATAGTTTTTAAGGCATCTTTTAACTGACAGGGATATTTACTACTTATTTATTTTGAATTTGAAATGACAAACCTGATTTTGTTGTGCATATGACTGAGGGGTCTTCTTGGTCCTATAGAGCCCAAGTGAGAATAAATGTCTTTATTGCTGTGGCAAGTGTAAATTCATATATATGTATATTTAAATACATGTTTGGTCTCAATGTCTAACGGATTCTTTAATGAGGCCTGCGGTGTATAAAATATGGAGTATTAATAATTTATGGTTGAATGCAGTGCTGTTTGCAGCTGCTCTTAAAGACTACACATGTGCTTCAGCTGGTGCTGAATGCTCATCTGTCATTTGATGGAGGGACTTACAGAAGACCAGCCTTCAATTATGATGATTGTTTGCCTGTGGAACAGTCTTGTGTGTGAACTTTTAAAGCAAAGCTGTTAAGTGAGTTTGAGAGTATCTTTACAAACAACTTTTTGGGCTCAATTTACTGAGACTCTAGCTATTTTCTAACATTAAGATCTTAAAGTGTAGAATTAAAATCTTAAATCTGGGAGCTGCAGTAGACCCATGTGTACTATCAACTTAAGTGGAAAGATTGGCTATTATTGTTGACCTCATTAGAAATTGTTGGGTGTTCCAACAGATTCAGGGCAAGCCTTTAATTCTCAGTATTTGTAAAGGTTTAGAAAAAAATCTGAACGTGTGCTAATTGGTGGAAAGTCTTCTATTCTAAAAGCCTTTAAAGGGCTAGTGTCTTAATAGTGGGTTGAATTAGAGGCTAATGTACTCCAAGGGTGGTCCCACTGAAATAATGGGAATGCTCAGTAAGTAAGTTGTTACTTCTGAGAGTCAGGAGCCTAATGTAACGATGTTAAGAGATCTATTAAATCTTTTTCCAAGTTGTGTCTGTAGGTGTCATTACTTATCTGCAGTTTCTATGTTAACAAGCCCCAAATTCTCTAAAGTAAAAAAAACACAAAATCCCCATTTCCCCCCCACAATAAATATGAAATGCCACTATAGACATATATATATATAGAGAGAGAGAGAGAGTGAGAGAAATAAAACAGTTGAGCACAATCTTTTATTGATATATTTACAGTTTTAAAGCAATTTGGAAGCCTACCAGTGCTTCAGTCATTATAATAAAATGAATCCTAAATAGCAGTATATTTTGACGTTTGCTTTTGGGTTTTTTTACCCTGGTAAACCAGAGCTCCCCTGCTCCCTTCACTCACCAGGAAGTGTCCAGCTGCAGCTCTCCCCCCAGCTGCTTTATGGTGCTGAGCAGTCCTGCTATGCCAGTGTGCTGCCCTGCTCATGCCATTGCACCTTACTCCGAACCCACAGCTCCCCCTCCCCTCCCAGCCCTGATGGTGCCTCTCACTCCTGCCCCGCAGCCTCAACTCTGCTGGTGCCTCACTCTTGACCTACAGCCCCCACATCCCAGCCTTACTGGTGCCCCTCATTTGTGACCCACTGTCCCCAGGCCTGGGGCAGGAGGTGTGTGGGCATAGCAATGTGTCAGTAGGGGTCATATGTCCTTCAGATTTCTGTGCCCACAGCAGTGTACAGGGCTGCAGCTTTGCTGCACCAGCACCAGCACCAGGCAGGAGCTGCCTCTGCAGCCCAGCAGGCAGGACCCAGTGCAGGAGGGAGTGCTGTGTTGCCATGGCCACCAAGATGAGGTGCCCTCTGCCTGGCTGGCAGCAGCAGAATACAATTCTGCACCACTGCCGCCCCTGAGAGCCCTACACCAACTGTGCTGCCATGGCTGCCAAGGTGAGGCACCACAGCAGTTAGGAGTTGTGTGCCCTGCCATGGCAGCATGGTGTGCCCTCCCGCTCCTGCCACACCACCTATAGGCCTGACCCCTCCTTGCAAGTGTGCATAGCAGTAGGGAGCCATCAGGCCCACCCCCCATCCCTTCCCAGGATGAGCTGCCCTTGGCTCCATCCTGTTTCCCAGCCGGGCCATGTGGCTGCACATTTCTGCCTGCTCTGGCTCATGCCCTGCCCCAACTGCCATCCCTGCCCCAGTCCCTCCCTCACTGCAGGCTTGGCACAAGCTGCTGCTGCTGCCTTAGTCATCTCCCCATGTGTTGCCTATTTCTCCCCACCATAGATTTACCTGCAGGGAGCTGTTCTCCACCACACTGCATGGCTGTATTGCTAGCTATGTGCATGTGTGCATGCACACATGTATGTGGCACCCCATGTCAGATCACCCTCTGCCTGCTCCCCCAGGCCCTTACAGGCTGGAACACCCCAGGCTGCAAGGGAAAACCTGTATTTTCCTGGGTTTTTCTCCTTTAAAAGGGCAAAGCCAGACTTTTTTGTAGGAAATTGAAAACTTGCTCATCTGTTACACTCCATAGCTGTAGACATTTTTTCTTGGCTTTTTCAGGGCAAAGGCTGTTCCACATCGCTTCTATAGACTGCATTCCCCTCTCTTGTAGCTTTTAATTTCCTTTTGATAGTGGTCAGAGGTTTTGCAGTAACTGTATGTGCTTGACATGATTTATCATTGCACTGACAGTGGGATTTTATGTTTAGCATTGCAATGCCTAGTGCTTAGGTGCTCTGCCACCTAGTGGAATCTACATGACAAATAGAGGAAACCTAATCACAAAGGTGAGAATTGGGCATTTGCAAGTGGGTGCCTAGAAGCTAGCATGTCTAAACTGCTCAGAGCCCCCTGGAGAAGTTAGGTGGATAAACAAGGCCACATTTTTACAAAGGGGTGTGTGGAGGAAGGGGATATGTAAAAAAAAAAAATGTAGATTCAAATACTCAAGTTGCTTTATGCATCTAGCCAGACTTGCAAGGGGCCTGTTTATTCCACATTCAGCCCAGCTTCAGTTAGTTCATTTCTGGGCTAGAAGAGTGAATTTTGTTCATTCTTATTAGTAAAACATTCCAAAGTCTATTGCTGACTAGAAGCATTTTTACTAGTTTTTCTAAAATAGCTAAGTAAACTGTTCTCACTGGGAATCTCTTATTCCATTCCAGGAAGTGAGGAGGTCCAGCAGGGAACATAAGAACATGCCTATTAGCTAGTCTTTGAGAAATATGAGAGCTGAATTAATTCTGCATTTCTTGTATACCACATACTTCCTTTTTTCTGCAAAGAATGTAGTATCAAAGATTCAGGTAAAACTGCTAAAAATAACGTGCAAAGGAAGTTTATTGCAAAATTGTCATTGCACAGGCCAAAGTATGGCCAAGAGCAGCAGACAGGAAAGTAAAACTTACATTCCCTATACAGGGTACAAGACTTACCAAATAAACATTGACTGTTTTGGAAACCTCTTCTTTAATTACATACACAGGCCATGTATGTTATGCCTCTTGTGAGTGGCAGGATACTAGAGGTCTGTAAACGATCTGCATAGATTTTTCTATGAGTAAGACTCTTAAGTGCCTTCATGTGATGATGGATTTGCATCCTTCTTCTTGCAACTAATATGGTTGAATAGAATGCCAAAATAAATCTTCTCTGGCTATATTTCATCTTGCTTCAATCACACTGAAGTCAGGTAAGTAAAAACTATTCTTCTACTGCCTACCCACATGTAGTACCTGATCCTTATCCTTTTCAAAGGTGCTGTACACAGGGAAGAGGTTGAGAAAGGACTGGGATCTAGGAATAGGATACATTTTGGTTTTCAAAGATAATGCACTAGAGAAGCCACTGCCCTATTTTTGCATCAGCTATACAGTAGTTTGGTTCTGTAAGTTAAAACAAAGGTTCTATCCCCTTGTTTCAACCTTGTGCAAACATAAATAACCTCACTGCACTCTCAAGCTTCCACATTCCATTCAACAAAAAAATCCTTTTTAAATACCGTACATAGAGTTCAAGTTGTTGTTTGTTTTTTTTTTGACAGGCTTCAGGATAAAAATTCAGAATACTGATGTCATTGGAGCATGTTAACATCCATTGTCACTGCACCTGCTTTTGTAACTTGGTTACTAGAATAAAAACACAGCATCACAGAAAAGTCTGTCATATAGTATAGAGAAAAATAAATATAGCATGGAAGTGAAATACAGAATCAGTTCCCTTTCAGCTGAAAGGGCTGCCATGACTTGACGTTTCTCCAGTTAACATACATCCAGCTTATTTTTTAAAAGAGAAGCACCATCCGAAAGTTCCAAATAGAAAACTTGCTGGTTATTCTTCTTAAATAGCTTAATGTTTTGTCTTCCCCTGAGCAGAAATCCATTAATATTGCATAATATAACAACAGATCTTATACATCTAAGGGCCTACCTACATTAGAATTTTATTGTCGTAATACTTTATAGCCTTGTAGATAGTCACAAATTGTATTGATTATAGTCCAGCTCCGGGGAAAAAAAATCCCAGAGTGTAGTGTGCATGGTCCTTAAGCATTAGAGATACAGAAGTGTAAACTTATATCTAGTATAAGAAATTCATCCCCAGGAAAGGCATAGCAAAGAATGGAAAATAGTATTGTTCATGGGAAGATACAGCATATTTGCAAGTACATGGGCTTTGTTCTCAAGCACTGTGATTTTTTTTAAAGAGCTATCAGTTCACCCTGACAGTGATTGCAGCAATTGAATGTTATGTTTTCATATCTGGTGTATGGGTGAAACCGTCCAATGTTCTTCTTTGTGGAAAGGAAGGAAGATGGGGAGGACTCAGAGAAGGGAACTTCTGGTGGTGTTTCTGTACATGCAGCTGGATCCAGGACTCGTAGCACCTAACAAACAAACCCCAGTATTAGATTTCAAATTGATATATTTATTCTCCTGATACTTTACATACAACAGCTTTGTTGAAGGCTTGTCAGCCCTCATGCCCTGGTCAGTTTTGATTTTGAGGATCTAAACACCCTGCTATTTATTGCAATATGAAGTCACTAGATGCTCTGCGTAGATTTAGAAACTCTGCATCAGTAAGCTCTCGCGACTTTACTACCAACAGTTTTGAAAAGTTTTCAAGGGACAGAGTAAGAGTTTCAGAAAAGTATCTGAGCTAATCAAAACAGATATTTAAAAAAAAACACATTGGACTCTAGAGATGCATAATAACAGTGTGTAAGATAGTTGGTTCTTTGTTAAGAATTACTAGCAACTTCACCTACCTAAAAGTACAACAGCCAGCTAGTGTATCTGCTGGGTGGGTTTAATTCTATTAGACTATAGCTTATTAGTTTAAAAAAAATGTTTCTGAGCTTGCATGGAACAGATCATTCTCTTGTGAAAGAGTTTAACAGGGGATGAGAAAACACAAATGAACAGAGCAGAGGTTAAACATTCTTTTGGATCTTCCCTAGTTTTCCTTCTACCCCCATCAGGGTTGTTTAAAAGAAATAGCACTGCCTCTCTCAAAAATAAGTCTGTTCAAAATTAAATCCTGATTTAATACAAAAGTGGTAAGGCCTAAACATGTTATATTTGCTTAATTAATTTAAATGAAAAATTGCTGAATCCGTAAGCTATCAAACTTACAGGCCGCATACTTTTCTATATCATGAATGAATTGAGAGCAAAGCCATTCAACTTTTGCGGCCAAGCTTTTAAGTGTCATACAATAGGTCAAGAACCATACTTAGGGTTTAAAAAGTGTAGGAGACATGAAGACTGTTACTGAGGACAAGACATAGGCAGCTCCTTGGCACAATACCATACACCATTTACTAATCTACTAAAATGAAAAATCGATAAGTCTTAAAATCCAGGTAATTGGTTAAATAAATATGTTCAGTTATATCATACCACTTCCTGGTGGTGAAAGACTCATCAAATCTAGTGCGTGTGTGAAAAGACTAGATGCAAATCTGTATTTAATGGTTATATAAAAATCAATGGAAATGCATGATTTTTCTTTGAAAAAATAACAAACATGATGGAGAAGTGGGTTAAAATAGATTTAGATAGACACATACCAAATGGCAATTTAAAAATCAATTCATCTTAACCCCCACTGAATGGGACTAGTTCTTTTAATGTATGGAGGAAGTGACCCATTTTATCTACCCCACCTGTCTACCTTCTCCATCTCTTTCCCTCTACTACTACTTGCTTTTGAGAAAGAAGAACTGTACTAAGCTTTTCAACTTTTATATACTCCCTCAGGGGAGCAGTCTAAATTTATATTGGCAGTTCTTTGTTCCAATCTCTTCTCTAAATTTATGGTAAGTGCTATCCCAGTCATTTCTGGATTGGGATTGTGAAATAAGAGGGAAAGCAATGCTTGCCCTTAAGTCCTGCAGTTTGTTACTTCAGACCAGCTGTTCTTGCAAAATTTCCTCTACAGGTTTATGAGAACTCTGCTTTACTAGCCATTTATTAGGTTATTTTGCCTTGTTTCAGTTTTGCTGTTCCAGTGCTTATCTTGCTTAATACAATACCAGTTACTTTAAACTGCAGTGTTAAGTACCTAAATGGCAGTTACAGAGGCTCAGGGACAGACTATATTTTTCCATCCTAATCAAAGTCAAGAGGAGGGGAAATGGGGAAAAAATATCCCACAGAAGATTTCCTGAGACCAAAAGAAAGAGTCCATTCAGATTAATTTCTAGAGTGATGGATAGCAGAGAAATGCCTTATACCAGTGGTGTTAGGTTACATGATGCAGTTCCTAGGGGGGAACTGTATTAAGTTTCTCTACTTTTCTATACTCAGGGGAGAAGTCTGTTAGAGGAGAAAGAGCTAAAAATTGATTACTTCTGCACTTAACTAAATTGCAATTTGCTGTCATTCACTAGATAGAAATGGCCTCAGAAGAGTTGTTTTGCCTTTCAAGGAAGAAAACTGCCACCTGCATCTGTGTAGTGCTACAGAGCTACAAATAAGGGTTTACCATTTCAGCCATTTTCTCAGCAGGTGTGTTGCAGAACTCTGCTGGCTGGGAAGTCTTTTTTGGACTGCTGGTGCCCATATTTCCAAGAAGGTGGGAACTCACTGCTTTGGCCAGCTTATGGTTCACAGCAGCCAGCTCTGCTGTTGTGTGAGGCTGAGCACTAGGATAGTACGTCTGCTGCCTTCCCCACTGGAGAGAAACCAGTAGCTCCTCTAACACTCTGTACAAGGAGAGAATACAGTTACATTAATGACCATCCTCACTTGTGCATGCTGGCAGCACTGTGTAACACTTCAAACTGAGGAGCTATGTTTTATAATGGACTTATAAAAATCAAAGTCTACTTGTGATGTACACCAAGGAAATGCAAAATGAAATACTATATATTTAAACAAAATGTAAGAACAAGGAGACTATTCCCTAGAGCCTATAGAACAAAAACAAGACCCTATATTAAAAGGAAAAAAAAAAATTTAGAGAAAAGTGGGGCAACAGCCTATCTGAGTTTTGGGAAATAGGTAAGGCCATTTAGTATTTAGTTCTGGGTGGGAACAAAGAACACAGGAAGACAACCGATTGACAGACTACAAATGATAAACAAGTATGGAAGAGAGGCAAAGCTGTGGACTGGGAAACTCAGGTCCCACATATCATTCCTTACTAATAAATATCAACCTGTGTGGACAAAAAGGAAGTTCAACTGCTATGGCTCTTCCAATTCTTAGTATCACCTGTGAGGTGCAGTCTTCGCGTCTATTTTTGTTAATAGCTGTACGCTAGAAACAGGGCTGGAAATAACTGATTCTAGGCCTAAGGAAGATCAAGGCATAGGCTAAAATAATAGGGAGTGCAAGTGGCAGTCCCTGGGGCAGGAATATAAAAGCTCAAAAAAATATGAAAGAGCAATCATACTTTTGGGCATCAATCATTTCTTGACGGAACTGGTCACGTTCACTCAACAGATCCTGAATTGCACTTTGTGCGTCTCTGGTTTGACGCTGAAGAATTGCTCTGGCATTTGTTAGCTCATCGGCCATGACTCTGCAGAAGAAATAAGGTTTTGTAAATTGGCTACTTTCACACACAAGGTTAAAAAATGAAAACCCCCTCTCACAGGTATAGCATACGGAGGTTAAACATTCAACAGGAACTCTGAGGCTTACAAATCTCAGTATGAGATACACAATATTAAAATGAAGAAAAAAAATTAGGATTTGGGAACAAATTAATCCTGAGGTTAGCTGGCCCTAAAGAAGAGCAGATAAAGCAAGGGACAGGTGCGGTATAAGATACCCCACCCAACACAGTCCCATTAGTAGCTGTGACTGACACATCACTTGGGAGTGATTTAAGGAAGTCAAACATGGAGTTCAAGCTCTTGCTCATTCATTCCTTTGCCTCTGTTAAAACTAATAACCAGGTGGTGGTGTGTGATCTGGACTTGTGCGCATTAGGGAATGAAATACAAGACTGAACATCTAAATCATTCATAACCATTTTTGGTCCCTGCCACCACAAGCAGTTTGGCAAGAAGAAAGCTTTATATTGGGTCTCAGCCAGCCACTACCACTGTAAAGTTTAAAAGGAAGATATCCAAGGGCAAATGGAAGTTACATGTAAATAAATGCATCTAAGAACAATTTGTTGCCTCCAAAAGAAGAGTAAGTAACAAGAAAAGTGGCACAAAAAGGTGGTGTGTTACATTCAGCACACCCCAAATCTGTGTCGCAGGCTGCTCCCACAAGCCTGATTCATATCCTCTGCCACAGGCACAGGACTAATGCAGAAACACACTAATTAGGGAAGGTAACATTTAAAGATTCAGAAGTCCTTAACCCATGAGTCACAAAGCCAATGCAGGAAACTTGTGCTACAGGTTTCAATATCAGTGTAACAAAGCTCTTAATTAAATATGCCTCAACCCACACCTAAAACAAGGAAGGATACCCATGAACAGTTCCACTACTGAAATGGAGTTCCAGTGGGGGTAAAATGTTGGAACTGTTCAAGACAGGAAATAAAAAAAAACCACTATGTTCAGTTTCAACTGCCAAGGAAATTTGGGAAAGCAAAGCACTTCACAAATAAAAAGCTTTAAGGATCATAAAGGTTAAGATACATGAAGAGTTAGAAGCAAGTCAAATAGTCATCTCAGCTTCCAGTCTGCAGAAAAAAAACTCCATCCTTTTGTATAACACAATAACTACACCCCACAACAGAACCATCACCATTCCTGGATCTTACACCTGCACCTCCAGAAACATATGTCATCCAGTGCACTAAGTGCCCTGATGGAAAATATGTAGGAGAAACCAAACAACAACTGTGTACCAGAATGAACGCACATCAAAAATCTATCAAAGACAAAAATACCTAATTAGCTGTGGGTGCACACTTCTCACAAGATGACTACTCCCTCTCTGATCTCTCAGTTCTAATTCTCAAAGGGAATTTACAAAACACCTTTTGTATGCACTGGCCAGGGGGCGAAGATCAGAGGGGATGCTGACCTGGTGACAGAATATAGCTGGTAAAATGTAGAGAGGCTACCTGGAGTTACCAGATGGCAGGCAGGTTGTAATGTGCCATAAATCCAATGTCTATATTTAGTCCATGATGTTTTGTATCCAGTAGATTTATGAAATGAAGTTTGTATGTTCGTAGCCCTAGCCCCATGCCGTCACAGCCCCGTGATCCTAGGGTCCTCATGAAGACCAGCTAGGAGATGTGTAGGCAGGGGCTGCAGACAAATGGGAGTTTGCCACAGGTGAGATCCAGCCCATGGGCCAGATTTTGCCCACCCTTGGCTTAGAAGGATAATTTTGAATTATTCAGATTTTCGTGTTCAGAGTAAAGTTCAAGTTGGGGGGGGGGAGGGGGGTATGTACAGCTGTGAAAACTGCCCTCTTGCAGATATGCATTTTTAATATGTTCTTTCACTATGCACATTTAGCAAAGAAGCACAACAGCCACACTAACCTGCTCGCTAGGAATTTGCTCCGCCACACATCACACTGTATAGACATCCGCTCTAATTGCTCAGACAGCTGCGACATGTTTCGTCCTAAGGCTTCATTTTCTAGGATCAGCTGATTTTTCTCCCGGGCCATGCGCTCAAAGTGATATTGTAGATCATCCCCCACAGAAGCAACAAGTAGCTTCTTCAGTTCTCGATTTACCTACAATAGGAGAGGGATAGGATGGCTGGGTTGATAAGAGTCCAGTTACAATGTTTGCTCAGGAGGTACACAATTTGCCAAAGAATTACACTGATTATCCACTGTGAAGTCAGGAAACAAAGTCAACTGTTAAAGCATTACCAGGCTTTCTGTATGGAAATGGTAACAAGACATTTCAAAGACTAGCTGTTATATACATGAGGTTCTTGGAAAAAGAAAGCTGAAGATTAAGCGTTCAGAGCATAGGTATTCAATAATATGTTCTTGCTTAAATACACCCAAACCATATATGTATTCTTTCAGCCATCAATTCATGTTTCATAATTGTCCACTTTAGGGTTTCATTCACTTTACACTGAAGCACCTGGTTGATGTACTTGGCCCTGATCAGAGAAAAAGATACTGGACTAGGTAAACCAAAGGGATACGCTATAAAATAAATGTACACAATGGGGAAAATTATTTTTTGTAGTTCAGTTTACAGTGTTGCTAGATACAGTGCTGGGGCAGATAGCAGGCTAGTTTTTCTGTACTTGTACCTATCCTTGATATCTTGATGAATTCAAGAAAAATACCTTCAATAATACTTTTACAGTGTTGAATCTCTCTACTGTTACAGAGTAGCAAGAACACAGCATAGTGGATTATGAGACAATGATTAGAAGCTGAAGCTTGACAAATTCAGACTAGAAATAAGGTAGAGATCAGGGTTAACTAAGCACTGGAACACCTTTCTTACGGAAAAGGTGGATTCTCTATCACTTCAAGTCTTTATAGAAAAATCTCCATTTCTAGCTTGATTATAAAAAATAGGGCGGATGCAGAATTAATGCGCAAGATTTTCTACTGTGTCATAGAAAAAAAGGCTTGCTAGATCACACTGTTCCCCTTCTAGTCTTAAATCTATCGCCTTACCAACACTTCCCAAACTTACCTCTGTCTGTACACGCAGCTGATTGGAGAGCCCTTCCTTATCCTGTAGCAGTCTCCTTTCTGAATTTTTGAGCTTTTCTATTGCATTTTTTAACTCCAACAGCTCTCTCTTAGCATCTTCAGCTCCATCTAACTGACATAATGTCTCTCCTTTATGATGGCCCCCTGATTTAGCCAACTTAGCATTTTTGGTAGGGACAACATGAGTTATAGCTGCTTTGGGAACCAGGATTCGAACAGCTTCAATCTCCACTGATTTGTCAGCATTTACTTTTCCTAGCTGAAGAACTCCAGGACTCAGTGAAGGTACTGGCTTTTTGTGTGGGTTGTGATGGATATGATGGCTTGTAGTCTGTGAACTAGATATTACTTCTACAGGTTCAGGTGGCTGCTCAGTTTCCATGCCATCTCCAGGTCCACGGATAGGTGACGTGGTGTAGTCAGCTAAAAACAGAGAAAAAGTTTAACAACAATTTATATCTAGGGACCTATTAATTTGTGGCAAGACAAAGGAATTTTTGCAGCTTGGTCACAGCACAAAGAACTGATTTCACTGGCATTTCCCAGCAGCCCTGCCCCTTGCCACTGACTGGCAGAGGCCCTGGGTTGGGGGGAGGGGAAGAAGGACAAGAGGGCAGGGCAGTTGCCATCTTGGCTGCTGGCTGCCTGTTGTGGTGCCCCACCCATTGGTGCCTCTCTCTCCTGGGTGGGCTGCAAGGCAGTGAAGACCACTGGCTCCCATGGGGAACCAGCATTTTATTGTTAAGTTTGTCCACAAAACCAGCTTTAAAAAAAGTCACAGTTTCTGTGAAATCTACAACATTGCAAAGTACATCCCTATTTCTATCTCATTGTATTGTGTTCATTGGGAAGTGCAAAAATTCAAAAGGAAATTGCTACAGTATTACAAGAGTCCCTTACATTGTAGCTGTAAGATGACACTTTGTAACAGCAAACTTGTCTAGGCACAGGTTCAATAAGGATTAAAAAAGGGGGAAATTTACTAGTTTCTTTCACTTCCAGTTTCTAGTCAGTTTTTCCACACACTCCAGTGTGGTTGTTGAAGTTTCCAAGATGGCAGGAGGTTTTTTATTAAATCATCTAAACATACAGGAATATGTCTGACTAAATACTTCTGCACAGTGTTGGATCTTTGAGTGTACACAGATCTTAGGAAGAAACTGTCACTCTGCCTTTCTAGAAAATAAGATGTTGTGTCAAGAACTAGCAAAACTGCAGGAAAAGATAGACTGAGTGATCTTCAAGAACATTTTCTATTTCTAACTGTATGACTCCACATCAGAGACAGACGCTTCAGAACACCGAAGAAGGTTCTTCTTTTTAATCGTGTTACCCAATTTAGATCAATCTAAAAACAAAATCAGGTGCCTACCTATTGAATGAAAGATTGAAAAAGGTTTTTAGAACTTGGGCTGCACAGTGGAGAATGAGTCCCTTTAGTGGAAAATAAATGTCCCAATCTTGTAAAATAATATCTACAGTAACTGCACAGACATCCTTTACTCCATGCAAAACAGGTAACTTGTCCTTTCCAAAGCCAACTTTTCTCTGAGTATCAATGGCCTTTGTAACCTCCTACCTGAATGCATAAGCTTGTCTTACTTAGACTTATCAGTATATAATATACACTACTATCAGCAAAGGGTGGAAGTAGAAAAACTTACAAAAGTAAGTACTTTGTAAAGACTTAGTTTCCTTCAAGATTTAGAGCATTCTCCACAAACTGTATTCAATGAACTGCAAAGGAGATAGGCTCTTACCCAGCAGGATACCCCTAATACAGTGGTCACCAGGCAGTGGATCTCGACCCACCGGCACATCTCAGAGCCTCTTGGAGTCTATGCGAGGCTGGGCTGGGGGGCTGAGTGCCAAGTGCATGCACCTGTGCGCCTCAGCCCAGCAGGTCAGTCCGTGGGGGAGGGGCGGGGCGGGGCTAGATGGAGGCCCGCCGGTGAGGGCCAGTGCCGCAGAGGCAGAAGCAGGGGACCGCGGGAGGAAGCCGGTCCCCGGGCGGGCAGCGGCGCTC